CACTTGAGGACGGTTTTCGGTTAGCCAAAAACTGGTCGGTTCTGTCGAAACCGACCGGTTAACTGCTAACCGAAAACCGTCCTGCCAGCCCTAGGAAAGTGAATAAGGAAAGAAAGAGAGGGATGACGGGAGTAGAGAGAGTCCACGAAGGGCTCAAGATACGGTGCATAACACATAGTTATGCACGCATCCATAACTAAATCTGAACCCTTTATTCAGAAAATTCAGATCCAAAGGTAGAGAATTAAAAGTGTTTTTATTTTTCCTTGTTTTCTTAATCGGCTCATATCTTCTTCGTTTAGACTCGGATCTCAATTTTTTTTTTCCCCGCAGATGGAACGAACTTATTGTGCTCTACAAAATGAGATCCATTTTCAATATTTTTTGAGAAAAAAAATTTAACGCCTCTCGTTACCAACAACATATACCATATGGTATCTTCTTCATTTTTAAGTCATTTTTGAAATTTTTTGCATAGAATGAACGAGTTCATCATGATTTATTGGATCTACAAATTTCTCGGTGAACAAAATACAGTACCAAAAAAGACCACACAATACCATGCTATACCACCCTGGTACGGGGTGGTATCTTGTGGTACACAATGTTGAAAGTCGTAAATGACAGTTAGTATACTCATACTATCATGTATTCAACCATCCTACAGTCTTGGTATGTTCATACCACCATGGTACGCTTTTCATACCATATGCTATGCTCTTATTTCAATATCAGTTAATACCATGTGAAAAATGGCTCAATTTTTTTGTTCCAAAGTATATCAAAGTGGATATCATTTTACAAAAAAAGGTGGATATAATTTTGAGGAGCATAATAATCTGATCTAACTGTGCAAAAAAAATTAAATTTTGACTTAAAACGAGTGAGAAATCGTCCATTAAAGATTAAAATGGAAAAAATTAAAAGCTTTACAGGAGATAGAAGGGGCACTGATGTGGCGGATTCTGATTGGGTTATGCATAATTATTGACCAAAAGGTTACTGACTGGATCCGCTCCCGAAGTAGTGGAAAGAACAAATTTTAGGTAAGTATTATGGATCCTCAAAGGTGGGGTTTGGGGTTTGGATGACACTATGTCACATTTTAGAAATGGGGCCACAAAGTTGAGCAATGTATTGGATCGTCATCAGAGAGTAAGGAGGAGAGGTAAAACAACTTGTCCCCGCTTATGAGTAAGTCCTCCCACCCAGATGAAGGTGCTTATGACTCTTGGCTCGCTCCAAGTAGTACACTCGTTGGGTTCTGATCTTGTTACTTTATGTTTCGGAGTCATTTGATCCCTTAATAAAGTCCTAACTAGAAATATCTTAAGAGAAGACAAGAAATCGTTTGCCAAATAGTAGATAACCATTTATTGAAAAATATTACCCTATATACAGTAATATATTACGAAAGCGATGCGACTACGTCAACATCATATTGAGTGTTAAGAATGTGAGCTAGCATATGTTGTGTTTCTCGAAGGAGATATATGTTATATCACCTTCATATTGGTGACATTCATTTTCCCTACCGCCTCAGCAAAAAGAAAGCTATAGTGGAAAATACTTATGCAATAGGATATTTGAGATTTTTTAAATGTTTATTTTTTAGAAAAAACCATTTACGTGGATGACATATGACTACTAAGATTTTGCTAGAATTTCGTTTTTCATTGTCTACATGGCGTCCAAATTATTTCCGCTTGTAACATTAAGATAATGCTTATGCCATCTTTCCGCATTGCTAGCATTTACATCTACCTTATTATGTGGCATACTATGTCAAAATCGTAATTTCTTGTGTATATGGAACCCATCAATTTTCTTTTTTGGCCCGTTAAGAGAAACGGTAAGCTTATAAAATCACCGCAATTGAACCACCACTCACTCATGATCAATTTGTCAATGCATAAACGGATTTCTTGAGTTCAAAGATGATGAGTGAACCCTTGGGACCAATCAGTAGAAAGAGTCCATTGATCCCGAGCTAGTCTTGGACCATCCGCGCATGATGTTGAATTTGATGAGTTCGTAAACTAGAACGAGAAAACGTAGGGAGACAGTTTTGTCACTAAACAAAAAGAAGAGCTTGGGTATGCCTTTATTGCCTATTGCACCACGAACCAACGAACCAATAATTAGGTGTAAGCTCTCTCTGCATTCATGATATCCAACATCAAAATTTTTGTCTCCAATCCCCGTTACCGTTTTGAGCTACAAAACACAAATTCAAAAAGTGGGTAAGGAAAAAACTTAAATATGCTCCACTTCAGTATCAAAGATCCCACAAACAGAAAATTACAAGCCCGAACGTCCATATCAATCCCCAATTCCCCATCAATGGGAAAACACATTCAGTGTCACCAAAAGCGAAAGATGGGCCTAGCAAAAGGGTACTGCAGCAGAGTTAATTAATAAGGTTAAGCAAAAGATAGGCAGTTAAGAAGCTATCCCGAGCGTGGTGGGCAGGGGACTCTATTTGCGGACAACGCCCCATATGATATGCGGTAACTGCCTCCTCCACCGCCGCTGCCAGAGCTCCAGTACAGAGATCTCCTCTCCCAACCATAACCTTTACTTCCATCATCTCCCTCGTCGTTGTGAACAGACATCGCTGCTGGCGATGAGGATTGCTGCCATTGCACAGCATCCATCACTACAACTTTGTTGGCATTATTGTTAAGTGACGTGGAGAGACTGAAAAAAACTAGAAGAAGAAGAAGGATTGGGGAAGCCATGAGAATGGGAAGGGAGGGTGGTGGTTTTGTGTGGAAATGGGGGGCAGTAATAAAAAGTAAATCACTAGCTTTGAACCTAGAGGACCCAGGTTCAAATCCCTTCAGTAGTACCTACCTAATCACAAAAAGTAAACCTATATCAACCTTATCTTAAAAAAAAGGGACGAGGGTGAAATGAAGTCACATGGGTTGTGCTTGGATTGACTGCCTTAATTGTCGCCGAGCTGCCTCGGCAGTCGGCGGTGACAAGTTGTTATTACTTTACTCGATAAGTTTAATTCGAGTCACGAGTACTTCCTACCTTGGTTTAAGGGATTCGTGTAGGATATATACTATGTTTCTATGTTTGGTTCTCTTTCTTAGTAAATATTTTGTTTGATATGCATACACATAGTCTGAAGTTTGTGTATATTTGTAGAAGATTCTAACTCAAATGGGAGGGAAAGCTCTAAAGAGAAGAAAATGAAATAGAAAGTGAAATTCTATTCAAAATTACATGTTTTCAAATTCCAGGGAGATAATATAGAGGAAAATGGTGGCATACTAATAAGTAGAAAATCTTTGCGTTGGACCGTAATTGAAAAATTAATGGCTTATGATTTAATTATTAATTTTTGTAGAGTGGTTGGAGAATCATTTATAAATTTTTTATATTAGAATACCTATATAATATACTAAGTAGTGTTGGACAAAGAAGCCAAATGTGGAACTAAATTAAATAAATGAAGATGATGGGCAATTCAAATGAAATAGAGAAGTATAAAAAATTGTTATGGTAATTAGTTAGCTTTTCATGTTTTTGCCTCCCATAATTTTTTTTCCAGTTCATTGCCTAGTCGCAAACAACCGGCTAGTTCATCGTTGCTGATCAAATTCACAAATTGATTCTATATTGTAATTGGTTCATGATTTACCGATCTCGTTAAGTTCTAATTAAAAATTCGTGTCTCCCATATATTATTTAGTGGTTTTATTTTTTGGTAAAAACATTGAATTAGTGAACCACTCAAATAAGAACAACTTTTGCAGTTCAATGACCAATCACAAACAACCAGCTAGCCCATAGTTGACCGATCAAATCTAAGACGTAATTGACTCACAATTTTACTTGTATTTCAAATTCTAATTTAAAATTTATATATCTTTCCGTTCAAGTTAAAAATTTATTTGATGTGTTTTTTATTTTTGTGATTCCTTTGATTTGGTTTCTCCCAACTTCTTTTGTCATTAGCGGCTCTTAATGAAACAGTCAGCTTTGTCCCTCCCCTACTTTGCTGAGTGTTTTGTTAATTGTATTCCTTTAATTGTTTCAACATATTTAATTGTTTCAACATGTACAAATCAGTAGATCGGTTAGGCAACAGTAAAATGACATTAGCTTTATATGTACCCGTTTGTATTTTATTCGTTTAAAACTTTCGTATTCATATTATTATCAAGCCGTTTTATTTTTTTCGTTCATTTGATGGCTCTCGTACTAAACACATATAAAACCCGTATAACACGTTTAATATCCGTATATAGTGAATTAAGTCGTTAACTTTGCTATTATTTATATATTTATTAATTTTTAAAATAATTAATTGTATATATTTATAACTATTAATGTACAATTAAACGTAACATTAGATTAGAGACAACGTAAAATACCCGTACATTTTTATATGTAACTTTCTCGTACCGTGATTTACTAACTATGCTTTCTATGATCTGACCCAGCTTTAATACAATATATGAGTAAGACCGAATTCGGTAGTAGATGTGTGTGTGTGTCAAAAGGTGGGAACACAACCTCGTCGAACAATTCCTTACTTCGCCAACGTCTATATCGTCTCTGTGTTTTTGGGTGAACTGGATATGAGGTAGAGAGGGTGAAGTATGTGTTTCATCGATGGGTAATTAGAGGATCTCCGTCAGCGATAGTCGCCATCAGGAAAGGTTGCAGAGCAATGATTTCATAGAGAATAAAGGGGAGTGAAAAATAAGACTAAATACATTTTTTATTTTTAAACTCTACATTAATTAAAAAATAGATGAACATATAAGTAAGTGTTACTAGGACTAAGCACACAACAAATAAGGCTTAGATTATTATGGTGTAAAATTTCCAACCAGTAAGACAAACTCTATTTGATAATATTATTTGCTAAACTAATGAAATAAACTTCATCAATTATATTAATTAGAGACTACCATCATCAAGCGTTTTTAATATGTTATTCTAATTTCTTTTTTTTTTTATCGGGACCTGTAAGAGACTTAAATCAGGTCAATGGCTACATCATCCAGACGTAGCTGGTCTAACAAAAAAACAGGCGCTCTATCGAGCCAAACTTCTCTCATCTCCCAGTTAGTCTTGCTATGAGCCATAATGTGCGCCGCTTGGTTTGCCTCTCGTCGGATGTGGCTGATGGCGCCTTCAGCACTGCCTGGTCTCCTCAAAAGCTTCTTGATGTTGCGGCAGATGATGCCCATTTCGGAAATGGGTTCTCCTTCCTCCTGCATATGTCGAACAAGGCATAAAGAGTCTACCTCAAGCACAACCCGGGGTGTGTCCAGTTGATTGGCTATTTGAACTCCAAACTCCGCTGCAAGGGCCTCCGCCATCTCTATGCTGTGGTTACCTCTGATATTCTTTAGATCAGGCCTAGGCCCTGTTAATTTATAAATCCACCCAAGTTTACTACCAAAAATGAAATTATAGAATAACTGAGGGATCTTTTTGCAAATACACAAAAACAAATAGGAATCTTTCCATCCATCGGCATTCGACCACCGTCCTCCCCTTTCCTTGTATTGACGGAGCCCATTTTCTCTCTCTTCTCTCTCTCCCCTTCCATCGTTCCTGAGGCGTTTCGTCTTCAAATTCTATCAAATTTTGATCAATGGCGTTCCCGCAGCACCATTTTCAGCCACAATACCAATCTTCACCACAGCAACAACAGCAGCAATCGAACGACTTGAGGTACGAAGTCCGGATTTCGATCATTTCTCGCTCCTTCTAGAAACCCTAAGAATTTGCTCCCCCCAAAATTCTCAACATTTCATGGTGCTCAATCTTGATTTCATCAGCTTCTCCTCCATTTAACTTTGATTGTCTACAGGAATTTGTACGCACTCGACACCCAGGTCTCGCCGACGGTGGGGTTTTACGACCCTCCGAATTTGCTAGACCAGTCTCACCATCCTCCCTACATTCCTCCTCCCTGTGAGTTCTCCTTTTTGCCAATTATGCTTCTCCCTTTTCTTTAGTTCGTCAATTCGGGTGGCAATTTTAATCATTGACGAACCTGGATTGTATTCAAATTTGGTTAGCTTCTTGATCGATAGCCGATAGGCTTGTTTGGTCGTCCGAGTCCATAGAGTTGCTAAGTCTAGGGTTGTCCTTAGAACTTGCTGGCAATATATCGCCTGCTGATTCAGGAAAGCTGAAGTTATGTGACTCAGGAGTGTCTTCGAACTCCTAAATTGATGTTTCTTTTTGTGTCATTTCTTTCAGTTCATGTGGTGGGATTTGCTCCGGGACCGGTGAACGACGGCAATGATGGGGGAATTGATTTGAAGTGGAATTATGGGCTGGAACCAAGGAGGAAAAGATTGAAGGAGCAGGACTTTTTGGAGAATAATTCTCAGATTTCATCGATTGACTTCTTGCAAGCTCGTTCCGTTTCAACAGGCCTAGGGTTATCCCTCGATAACAATCGTGCTTCATCTTCTAATGAATCCGCTTTGCTGTCGCTCATAGGAGATGATATTGATCGTGAGTTACAGCGTCAGGATGCAGAGGTTGATAGATTCCTCAAAGTTCAGGTTTGTGTTCGAAGTACTGCAGAGTCAGATTTATTGAAACTCGGTGATGACCTCCCATGATTCTATAGCTTGATTCTTCCAACGATTGTGGGAGTTTTAAAAGCATGAGAGGGAAATAAGAATTGATTGCAAGAGAATATCTAGGCTAAGCGTTTTACTGTGTGGTTGGGGAAGTAGCTCGAGCTGGTGTGGATCACCTATCATGTTTTTTCGTTTCCCTCTTTCCCCTTCTTAAGTCTTAACCCTGTTCCTGCCTTCCAAAACTTACGATTTTCCCAATTATGGTTGGTTAGCTTTCGCCAAATTATTTAGCAATAAATTTTATTCTACATAACCAATCTTGCACTTGGTGAAAACTAGATTTGGCAGACAACTGGGTTCTGGCCCAGCTATCTGTGATTTGCGGCAATTTCCAACTTGGGAAATTGTTTGTTATCAGAGATTCTCAGTTTTGCAAAGCTCTCTAAGCTCTGTACGCACTGAAATACAAGCAGCTGTATCTAAAAGTTCCCTTAATGCTTGCTGGTTTCCTTGTCTTCTACTATTCATGATTTTTGAATTCTGTGTTTGATCTTGAAGCTGCCGTCCTGGCAACTAAACCTGCACTAAGAGAGTCGGGCATCAATATGAAGTTTGCAAGTGTGTTTCTTTTATAGGGTGATCGTTTGAGGCAAAGCATCCTAGACAAAGTCCAGACAGACCAACTCCAGACCATGTCATTATTCGAAAACAAAATTATCCAGAAGCTCCGAGAAAAGGAGACTGAGATGGAAAGCATCAACATGAAGAATTCGGAACTTGAGGACAAAATGGAGCAAATATCTGCCGAAGCAGGGGCATGGGAGCATCGAGCGAGGTCCAACGAGAACCTGATAAATGCCCTCAAGTTGAATCTTCAGCAGGTCTATGCTCGGACTAGGGATCAGAGCAAAGAAGGGTGCGGGGACAGTGAGGTGGACGACACGGCTTCCTGCTGTAATGGTCGCGGCGTCGGTGGCGGGATCGATTTCCAGATGCTGTTTAAGGAGAACAAGGACATGAAAGAGCTGACGACTTGTAAAGTTTGCAGAGTGAATGAGGTGTGCATGCTTTTGTTGCCGTGTAAGCATCTGTGTGTGTGTAAAGAGTGCGAGAGTAAGCTTAGCTTTTGTCCTCTGTGTCAGTCCTCCAAGTTTCTTGGGATGGAAGTTTATATGTAACGGAAAAAGACACGGGAATGATGATCTTCATTAACGGTTTAATGCCACGTATACTACTGTAGAATTTGTTGTCAATGGTGTCTTGTCTCCTTGCCTCTTGGTTCTGAACGGTTTGATCTAATGTGGATTGAGATGGTATCTCCAGAATCGAATTAAATCGACGTGATTGTATTAAAATTCGATGAAAATTGATGATAAGTTCAATTCAAACCGCAAAAGGCTTGATTCAGTCGAAGTCTGTAAAATGAAATTGAATACTTTATAGTTCGATTCAACCTGATTTGATATGTAATTTGAACTAATAGATCCCTATTGGATATTCAGTAGGAGTATCTATCTGTCTTGTTGTACTTGTGAATGATCATACAAAATGTTGAATAGTTGGTAATGTAATGAGTTGCAGAAGTAATCTTACCCTTATGATTAAGGATTGAAATAAGTCAATAACCAATCATTGCGACACTAACATGCATAACGGTATTTTATGAAAACAGAAAAACAATTTATTTGTCCAAGACATGACTGGCCAAAACCAAAACAAACACATTACATAACCAACTATTCAACCAGAATACTGATAAAAGAGCTTTTATTGTTACTACATGGACATATCTATGAAAGCTCTGAAGAACAAAAGACACTATACAAACTCGATTAATAGAAAAAAAATTCTATAAGATGGCCCGCAATAAAAGAGAATGAAATGAAAGTCCCAACCAATTCATAAAAAAAATTAAAGAGAATGAATATTGAAACATGAAAAAAAAAAATTAAATTAAATATAAACATAAACATGATCGCCTAAACTAGTAGAGATTTGTTACAGAATGCTACTAGAGAAATGAGGACTGAGGAAAAGGAAAATGAGCGTCGTCCATGCCTCTAGGCTGAAGTTAATGATTGGGAACCAAAAACATGGGTTATTGGTATTACCCACCGTTGTGGCCCGATCATTTAGGCCTGTTCGACCACACCAGGTCACGCCCATTCATAATGGCTGGCCCATTGCAGGTAATGCTAACACATTGCCCGGGTCACTCCAAATTGGGCCAAGGAAGTGATAATCGAATACCTACAAACCATGTCCTTTTTAACGATGGTCGGGCCATTACAAGGGGCCCAGGGCACTCCGTAATTGGGCCGAGCAGTGATGATGTAGATTCTAGTGTCAATACGATTTTTAAGTATAAATTTATAAATTTTGTTTTTAATTTAATCATATTATCATTAGCGATTTTTTCCTTGTCATGTGAAATGAATTTCACTATACGAATGTTTATTGCTTCGTACAATCACCAACCATGAGCTATTACGAGCGGAGATGCAGTAAATGAAAAAAATGACATTTTGTATAGGTTTATTATAAAAAAATTATTGTTTTTGTTGGACGTATAAAGTCAAATTTATAATTGATCACAAATATTCGCTTGTGATCCAAGCCAAAAATGGACATAATCCTCCCAAGTTCCAACTCAAAATTTTGATCTGCTCGTGTCAATATATATTCTATATGTATGTATTATAAAATCTATTTAAATCCACTGAATTATCATTAATAATTTAGTACTCCGAAATATACAACATGAGCCTTCCCAAGACGAAGATAAACTAAGACTACTAACACATAGCCAGCCAGGCCTGAATCGAAGAGCTACATATAGCTTGCTGGAGCCAAGCTGAGCTGAAGCAAAGATTAATCGTTAATAAATGCATTCATTAAAAAGGGTTATGGGCAAGGTGGTGGATTTGTTTGTGTGGACTAAATCATAGTTTAATAACTGTCCTCCAGGGGGGCAAATAGACTGTGGGGAAGAACAATAATGCAAGGGAAGGGATTCTGCCTTGGGAAGCAAGTCATTTTTTGTCTTGGTGTAGATTGGTCCTATGTGGGATGAGTATCAAATCAAATCACGAAATTAAAACTAATTAATCAAAAAAATTAGCCACACTTTTGGTGGAAAAGAAGAGGGGATTGGAAGGAGAGAAAGATTTGTCTTCTTTTTTTCAAACTTTGGTTTCTAATCATGCCATGGAAAGTGATGACAAAGAGGAAAGTGAATATGCTTCCTCCACCATTCACTTCATACACTTCAGCTTTGCTTTGAACCATCATTGGCTTGCTCAGTTGCTCTCATCAGCAAATTAATAACATGCATTTCTTTGAATCACTATAGCAATGAGAGATCTATGGACACTATAGCAATGCTGTTGATATGATTATTCCCTCCACTTCCACCGCCAAAGACGAAGATCAAAGGGGGAAAAGCTTCCTCTAATTACCCAGCCGATCTCTGTCATGTCACTGTGGCCTATTTTACTGCTAATTGAATTCTTCTCCTTTTCTTTCCCTTCTTTAACTTGGTCACTTTTAGTGGCGGAATCAGAAATTCTCTATAGAGGTGTTTTCTTTCAGAAAATAAATATATTGAAATAATATGTTGTAAAGATTGTAAAATACAATCATTGTTTACAATGCAGAAAAAATCTCTTTCAGTATATTCTAATCATTCATGAATCGATTGTCTATTTGACTCCAAAGTTTGTTCTTTTTTTCTACTAAAAAAAAAGTTTGTTCTTTTTTTGTTAGAATGGTGGGAAGAAATAGCCCGTACCCGGATTGGGGTTAATTGATAGGATTTGAAAAAAATTGGGAATAATGGGAAGCTAACCAAATCTCAGTGTCTAACCCAAATTCACCTGCCTACTAGACCATGAAACAATTCAACTTGGACTCCTTTGGCCAAAGAGAAGCCAAGCTTTCAAACAGAAATCAGTTGAGGTGTTCAGTGGGCTTAACCAGGAGGAGGGAGTTCTTGATTAATGCCCCAGATGAAAGAATAGCTACCACAGGGTTATGTGAAGCCTAACAACATTGATGCATAGTTTTTTGGGTATTGATCGCTTTCTTACATCATTTCTTGATGACGGGTTTCTTACATAATCGAACTCGCCTAATCACAATAATATCTTTGTTCTTTGTTGTAACAATATATAAATAATTGAACAAGATCATTCAAAATGGCAAATAGAAATCTACAGGGTCATGTTAGGCTTCATCAAGTAAACAAGGCGATCATATTCTTGCTGACAATAGGATGATGTATCATCAATGATTGTTTTGAATCGTAAATCACTAGTTTAAACTTGATTGATAGTAACAATCAGATTTTGATCCCATAAGCTCCTTTCAGTAAAATTAGAAGATTCTAAAGAAGAGTATATGACCCGTAAAAAAAAAAAAACTTGTAGCTAGATGAATTATCAACCTATATGTGCAAAGTTACAATACCTAGAGTACATATAGAGTGCGAAAGAACATAAATGTAACGATGCAGATTCATGTATAACTTATCAGAATTAATCGTATTGTTGAACCTATAACAAATATGTTGTGATGAGCTGGCACTTCTTTCCTGAAATTTCCTTTTTCTAATATGAATGGAGTTCAGTCATATTCATTGTCCTCCTCGTGCACTTATTCCCTATAAAGCTGATTTTCCCCCTCAACCTTACTTTCATTTCCCCTTCTTTTCTTTAGTTCCTTTGTTCTTGTGGGGCATCAGAAGCACAATATATCTATCTCTATCTATGACTGTTGGCTGGCTTACCTCCACTTCGTACCTTTGTATATCTCTTTTGCCTTCTTTATTCATTAGACATTGTTTGTTTGTACATCCTTTTTTTCAGTCTTCTTCCAACCCTTCTTTTTCTATCAATAGCAGCATAGCCTAGCTGCCTGCCTGTCAAAAGTTGCATTTTCTTCTGAATTTTTCTCAAAGTCCTACTGAAGAAACGTAACCTGCTTCTATCTCTTTGTCTTCCTCAAGTTCTATGGGAAGAGGGAATATTTTTGCAGACAGTAATGCGCACCCCTGCATGCTTTTACTTAATATGTATAGATGTTATTCATTAATAATAAAAAAAAAAGGTTAGATCTCTCCTAATCATTCATATACATGGAGGGTGTCATTCTCCAAAAAGAGGGAACTCGTTCAAGATAAATTTCAGCAAACACATGAGTTAATTCTACATTGTTTCCTTTTTCATCTCCAGGGGCGGAGCTAGGATCCAGTGGTCGGGGAGGCCGGACTTTATTGTATAATATCCGTAAAAAAAAATTAAGAAATATTTACATTGTGAGTCATAAACTTCAAAATTTAATTATCTAGACTCCAAAATTTAATTATCTAAATTAGAAAAATATTATAAGCTCCAAAATTTCATTATCTAGTTTGAACTTTGAAATTAAAAAGTATTTGAATAAGTACAAAAGTTAAGTGATCAATCTAAATTTTAAACAAAAATTCAACCAAAGTAGGAAAACTTAAAAAACAATGTTGCTGCCAGGAATTGAACCATGGTACTGGGTATTCACAAATACCAAGCAGCTGCATTCCGTTAGACTAGACCCAAACATTGTTGTTTATTATTGCACGTTATTGTTATTCTACAATAGTTAACTTCTTCAGAATTTTCAAAATTTCCGATATTTTTACACGCGATCTCCAAAATTCTCGGGGGGGCCCCCGAGGCACAAGGTAGCTCCGCCCCTGTTCATCTCCCCTTTCATTACTTTGATCACATGACTTGTCCATTGGACGATATATCTGAACTAAATTTAAACAAATTTAAATTTTTATAGATCTTCTTCTACCCAATAAAAATTCAATGTTGAAGCCAGATTCCGACCCACAATCTCAACATTATTTTGCTCCACTCAAACGCGAAAAATTTAGTAATAAGAGAAAAGAATATAGTTCATTTTTCGCTTAAATTTTATTAAATTTAGAGATAAACCCATTTCCAAGTTAGATTCCTTAACATGAGTATTGGATGAATAGGACCATCCATACATCTCCACTAAGATATATGCATGTATTCATAAGCTAATAATAACAATCAATCGATTAAGGGGATGTATGGTTTCACTTTAGGCAACAGTGGTCCTATCTATAGCAACCAAAAAGACAAAGAAGATAGAAGGGGGAAAACCCCAACAAAGATCTTCGAAGGATAACATTTTTATCTCCAAAGACCTAAAATTTGCGTAGAATCTGCTAGGAATTTCATACTAGGAAAAAAAAAAAAACATTAATC